CACGGACCATATGTGAGTTTGAGTTTGTTTGATGTGTTGTTCTCTCCCTTGCCACGAGGGTTTTTCTCCGGGTCCTCCGGTTTTCCTCCCTCAGCAAAAATCAACATGTGAGGAGTGTTGTGTGCTAAAATACTTAATGTAGAGGTAGTGAGTGTGAGAGTACAGGGTCCGCAGTAATTGGCTCACGCTGTTGCAGTGTCCCTGCCCATACTAGGGGCAAAGCTAATAAATTAAAATAAATTAAAATAAATTGTCCATTCACCCTGGCTACGGCCCTGATTACTCTAATCTTGCCCATGTTATATTTACAACAGATTTAGAAAAAGAAGAGAAAGTAAATAGAGAAGTAGAGGTAAATAATAATTTTATTGATAATGATTGATTCTCAATTAATATTTATTTTTAGTTATTGTTTTCTTATACTCTTATATGAATAAAATGCAAACAGGGAAGGTTATATGGAGTTCAAATGATTATGAAAGAAGAAGAAGAGTTTAGTTATGAGTCTGTTACTTGTGTTTTTAAAAGAATAATTAAYGTTTTGSCATCTGACATCARCATTCTTTATTTTTGTCCCACTTTTCAGGAAGCACAAAAGAATTATCAAAGGAAGAAACATGAACTTSAGTCTTTATTAGATGAACATAACAACTTGGTGCAAGAAGTCAACCAAAAAACCAGTGACTTGCATGACTAAATGGAATTCTCTCCAGATGTCCTAACAGATATCCTAATAGATACAGGTAGTTAGTGAGATATAGAGAGGTAGTTTAAAACAGCAATATATTTGTTTATCACATGACTAGTTAGTCTCATTTCTTCATTTACTTGATTCTTAGATCCCACCTGTCCTACCTTTCTCTTCTTTTCTTTTTTCTTTTCTCTTTCTTTCCTTTTTGCTAATGTTTTTCTTCCATTCTTGAAAAAATAATTTCTTAAAAATATATATTATACATATTTTGCTATATCAAATTTTCTTAAGATTATAAAATCATGTAAAAAAAGCGAAAGCAAATTTATTTTTTAAGAATAAMTTTTCATTCCATGTCATTTTAACTAAAACATGAAAACTAGACAGTTCTAATGGATAATTAATACTTTTTAGTAATATCAATTGTCTAGAATTAATGTTACTACTAATATTTAGTAGATGATTTGGTATTTGTGATAAAGGTGATTAATAATAAAATCCCTTCTAAAATCTGATACGACATGACTTGTGGTCTTGTGGTTSAACATGAACTTTCATTCCCATCTGTTGAATTATTTTGCTGAAACTCTAAAGTTTCACACTAACAGGTGACACTTAATGAGTTACAGTATTGTTTCACAGCAAGCTGTTTAGGTCTACGTCTATTTAAAACAATGTTTGCTATTCCCTGTAAATATAATGATTTTTTATTTATTTTTTATTATTATTTRAATGTGGTACATGAATATCCTGTGAAATGACAAATTTAGTCATTTGTGGGGATGAATCATCCATTTTCTTCGTGAAGTTATTTGRAAAGTGACGTCATTTTTCCAACCTGGAAGTGACGTATGCGATGTGTAATTGATATTGTGGGCATGCGCAAAAGGAGGCGGAAGGGAGCGGCTTGAGAAATACGTGTGAGCCGGCGAAAGTGTGATTTAAACTTGGAAATTGGTCAAAAAATATTTGATTCTGTGACTCCACAGAAACAGAGAAGGGAGACAACTTCTTTTTCAACATGTTCTCATTTATGAGCAAAAGTGACGGYGGTCGAAAGAACCCACAAGTCTTCGGTTCGGTGGTGGACGGTCTAAAGAAACTGTACATGAGAGATCTCAAACCCCTGGAAGAGTCYTACCTATTTAGTGATTTCCATTCGCCTCCTATGACAGATCCTGACTTCCATGCGAAGCCTATGGTTCTTTTGGTTGGTCAGTACTCTACAGGAAAGACTACGTTCATTAAGTATCTGTTAGAACAAGACTTCCCGGGCATTAGAATAGGCCCTGAGCCTACCACAGACAGTTTCATTGCAGTTATGCACGGTGATACTTCTCAGGTTATCCCTGGAAATGCCTTGATAGTAGACCCATCTAAGCAGTTTCGGTCTCTCAGTTCATTTGGTAATGCATTTTTGAATCGTTTTTGTTGCTCAGAGCTGCCAAACAAAGTTCTCGARAGCATTACTATCGTTGACACGCCGGGTATTCTTTCTGGGGAGAAACAGAGTGTTGCACGAGGCTATGACTTCACCACCGTGCTAAAATGGTTTGCAGAACGCTGTGATCGCATTATCCTCCTATTTGATGCCCATAAGCTTGATATCTCTGATGAATTCCAGAGGGGAATCCAAGTTCTTCGAGATTACGATGACAAAATTAGGATCGTTTTGAACAAAGCAGATATGATAACGACACAACAGTTAATGAGGGTCTATGGTGCGTTGATGTGGTCCTTGGGCAAAGTGATCAACACACCTGAAGTTGCACGTGTCTACATTGGCTCATTCTGGAACGAACCTTTGCAGATAGATGACAACCGTARGCTGTTTGAGATGGAGGCCARTGATCTGTTCCGRGACATGCAAGAACTGCCAAGAAATGCAGCCTTGAGAAAACTGAATGATTTCATAAAGAGAGCTCGWCTTGCCAAGGTAAGAAAAACGTACAATATTTTATGCATGCATACCTATATTGTTTTGAACAGAGACAAAGAGATACTTTGTTGCGGAATTTGTACTATATACTTTTTATATCGTCTCACTTCAATGCATATTCATAATAAAATAATTATTGTACTTGTTCTTAAAATTGGTCATTCTTTTTCACATTAACTTCCCTTTAGAACAGGAACTTCAAATCAATGGTCAGGTGACAGAAACCAAAAGTACAAACAGTTATGACCTGATGAATTTATTGTAACTTTTGCCACTGACTGATATTTTTGAAGAAATTTGACTTTTCCTCACCACTTAGTCTTCATACCTTCCTAACAGGTGTTTACCAGGAAGGCTTGACTATCTTGGTACATTGCACATATAAAACCCTTGTCTAAAGCATTTCCTTTATGACAATAATAAACTTCTTTTTGCTTYCTAGGTTCATGCATACATTATTGCAGAGCTCAAGAGTCAGATGCCTTCAGTTTTTGGTAAAGATAAGAAAAAAGACCAGTTGATCAACAAACTTGTTGATGTATTCAGAAAAATCCAARCCGAGCACAACATTTCCCCTGGAGACTTCCCRTCAGTGTCGAAATTCCAAGAACAACTGAAGCAACATGATTTTTCAAAGTTCAATAGTATGCGTCCAAAACTAATCCAACATCTTGACCGTATGCTGGCTTCAGACATCCCACGTCTCATGGCCATGATYCCACAGGARCAACAAGATGAAGCAATCAACAAGCCGTCTGTCACRGGAGGTGCCTTCACAGTCACACATGCTACTAATAATCCTTTCTCACAAGGTGCTTGTGAAGGAACTGATTTAGGCAAAGACTCAGAMCATTGGATTGTACTTGATCACAAGTCTSAATATGACAAGATCTTYGTATCCCTTGTKCCATCAGAAAGCGGTAAAATCACAGGTGCAAAAGCTAAGAGAGAAATGCAGAAGTCTAAACTGCCAAACACTGCATTAGGACATATCTGGAAACTTTCTGATATTGATCGMGATGGGTGTCTGGATGAGGATGAGTTTGCATTAGCTATGTATCTTATCAAAGTCAAACTGGATGGTAGTGATTTGCCAGATAAACTACCAAAGCACTTAGTACCACCATCTAAAATAGAGTTAGTGTTAAACAATGAATAGACACTATGCAACATTGGTACCTGTTGTGCATCATATTGTATATTTTCCCATATGCATTTAGGCATGTCAACACTATATTTCCAAAATTATGATATCTACTATGAATCAAGAAATATTTGATTAACAGTAGTAATAACAAAGAAAGTTATGCCATTTCTACACAATATGGTATAGTGTATTCCCATTCGTTATGTACAAAGATAACTTCAATTTATTTCATGATTTTGCATGCAGTTTAAATTATGTCCAGTGAACAAAAGGCTAAAGGAAATACATGTTTTTTTACCTAAAGAAAACCAAATTTGAATTATTGTTATTTTATTTTGATATATAAAAGGTTCATGTTTACACAAAACATTATAACCAATCTAGAGGTATTTTTAGTGCTGTTTAAGTGTAAATGAAYTGCAAAATGAATTGTACACTTATGTTGTAATAGGTAATTTGTAATAAGTATATTTAGTGGCAAAGAAAGAATAGTTTTGTGATGAAATTATGTGCTTTGTGTTCTTTTGTACATTCAGGAAATAGTTATTCTTTATAGGCACACATTAAAATGGTAAGTGTATTAGTTTTTATTATGTCATATGTAATGAAACATTTGTGTTCTTGTTTGCTCCCAGCTAAATGAGAAAACATATCTCTAAACATTCTTGGAAAATGCAATATTGGTGAATTGTAAAACAAGCTCTTGGGTGGAAAAATAGCTTCAAACATCAAATGTTTGACTAATTAAAAGTCTTTCCAACATGTTTGATTATTATATTGAGCAACATCATGCAAGATGGCAAAATAGTAACATACACAGGAAGCCCAATGATGTTTTATGGTGTTTGGCTGGGTAGTTGGTACAAAATCATTGCACTTTCATTGTTGGTATAATGCTGATAGGTTTGTAAAACATTTGCATCTTTGTGAGGCATATCTTTTWTCAAGTCTTTTAGTATACTTTATAGATGGTTTTTCTTGTCAGGACTTGAACTGAACCTTGGTTCCAGAGTCTCGAGTTAAAGCCCATTCTTCACTGTTGTTGGTCATGCTAATATGAAACAGGCTGGATAAAAYAATGKTGCATGTACCAACACAACTGKGAAGGAAGAGCAAACCATGTCTCTGGAACCTYGGTACGGGAATTATAGCTCAAGAATGTCTTAGTTTACAGGTTGTGTTACATTGTATACTTTGTAAATCAAACCATAATTCTGCATTAATYGCCAGGATGATTGATGCAATTTAATAAAAAAGAAACACCTTTAAAAGTAGTTTATCTTCCTTTGTTAATTGAAAAAGAATGAAATTTTTGATTTTATTTGATTACTTTACCAGAGTGAAAAACAACTCAAACAACACCGAAAAAAAAACTCAAACAAAGAAAGTGAAAGTGGGGGTCAAATGTCCCCAACACTAGAAGAATTATTTCTCTTTTTCACAGAATCAAATCAATGATCCTTAGATAAAATAATTTGTGAATTGAAATTTTTCATTAATCAGAAAAATTGTCATCGGAGCATAGAAATGTTAAAACTAGTAGTATTTAAAACATGATTCCACAGTCCCAAGTCCTGTGTTCCTGATCYACTTGTGTAAAATCGTATTCAAATGAGCAGTGATGACTGSTCTTTGGTCAACTTTGAGCAACAACATTCCATCGCAACGAACTAGCGTCCTTGGTGCGTACCAAAGGAATTTTCTCCCTTTTCTTGCAGTGTGTCACTACTTAACCATCCAAACTCAGTTACTACTTTCTCGTTACGTTGTGGATTTTATAATAGTTAGGTATCAAGTCACGAAACTTCAATAAGTWACTAATTATTGAAGTGTTACAATCCTCCTTGGAGATGTCAAAGCATGTAACAGCTAGTAAACGCTCAGAGCTTCTTTTTTCAAGAGAAAAGAGGGAATTCTACGATTAGASGAATGATGAGCAGAGGATGTACCGCTCAAGACTATAACATTTCATTTWTGCTGAAGATTCCAGCAGTTTTAACAATTTAACTCCGAAAAGTCAACGAAGAAATCAACAGACGTCCAAAATGTCTTACGTCCCGCCACCAACACCAACGTTTGAAAAGGACAGAATTAGAGCCTTGAAAAACGAGAGAATTTCATCACAAAAGAAAACATTTACTAAATGGATAAATTCATTTTTGAACAAGGTAAGTGAGGAAGCCAGGTAATTTAAAATTACATATCACTATTTGCATTTACCGCCAAATTTTTATACTCTTGAGTATACGCAAATTTTCCTTTGTTTCTTTTAACTGCTGGAAAGTGGGATCCGGAAAGTGCTTATTTTACCTCCTTACCTCGCGAAAGAGCAARACGTGTAAACATTTTATTAACATGTTAAAATCCTATAAAGTTAGTTTGAGCACAAAAGTTACTAATAATTGATAAACTTGATTATAATTATAGTCGAACCTCCACGTGAATGACTTGTTTGAGGACCTTGCAGATGGACGGATACTGATCAGCTTGCTTGAGATCATATCTGGAGAAAAGATTGGCATTGCAGGTAAAGTGACAGCAAGAGGGACATCAAATTGATGAATACTGATAATAATCACAAAAAAGTCAATTAATAAAGCAATAGCAACTGATATGGTAAATGCTTGTAAACTTGTAAACATCAAGGACAATTTTAATGGGAAGGAAGCAGCAGAAACCTCCCTGCAGAGACTTTGCCTTGAGTGTAGGCAAGTCAAAAAAGAAAGAAAAAATAGCAAAAGCATGCATAATAGTTGGTGGGTTTTGGCATGATATCAGCAAAAATATTCTCTAAAAGAACTTGTATTAGCTGGCATTACCATTGATTACCATCTCCCAGGCCAGAATGTTTGTGAAGCGGAAAAGAAGAAATAAAATCTTCTGTTTTACTTCCTTCACAGTTTCCATGTCGTCTCCAGTCTTTGCTTACTTTACTAGTGAAAAAACAGACCTTTATGATAGTATTGCAGTATAATGTATTCTTGTACTGTGTGAATCTTATATAGCTCATATGCCAGTGTCATTCATGATTGACAACACTGAAAAGCCTCAAATACAATTTTCTTTTAGTTGATGTCAAAATGGAAAATAGTGATGCATCAATATGTTCTTAATGATAATTATTTTATTTTTCATAAGCTCGTGGAAAGTTTCGTGTTCACAATATCCAGAACATCAATAGAGCGTTAGAATTTTTACAGAAATCAGTAAGTTTGATGATTTCATTATTATTCATTGTGTTTGCAGAGGAAACTTGTAAAAAAAAACATTTGTTATCAATGTTTATCATAGGTAAAACTGGAGAGYATTGGAGCAGAGGATGTCATTGACGGCAATGAACGGCTCATATTAGGACTAGTATGGATGATAATCTTAAGGTTCCAGATAGCTGATATTTCTTACGAGGTATATTACTTCACAGCCCCTTTATTTAGTATAAACATACTAATGGTCTATCACTCATACTGCGCTGTGATTGGCTACCCTACTAATGGTCTAATTTGTGATAGACCACTCGCGGGAAAATGGTGGCATCTCATTAATAAATGGTTTTAAGGATATTTCAATTTGTTTTCATTATTTGACCGATTAGTATGTTTATACTAAAACAATTAGACCTCTCGGCCTCGTGGACTACAAGGTAATAGCCCATTCAGCCTCGCTGACTCGGGCTCATGGGCTATTAGCTCGTAGTCCACTCGACCTCGAGGTCTAATTGTTAAATAGTTTGCAACATGAGTGGCCATATTGTATGGGAATTACAATCTTTAGCCGAAAGTAATAATTGATAAATTGGTAATGAGTTTTATAATTTTGTCAAGTATCTATTAATATGACATGGTTTATGATACATCTTAGGATGAAATGTCCCGCGAGARAAAGTCAGCTAAGGAAGCCCTTCTATTATGGTGTCAAAGGATGACAAGAGGGTATGAATTCATTAAATGTTGATAGGCATTAATTAAATATTAGATCAATGTACTGTAGTCAAATAATTGACAAGAGGCCAACATTGAGTCCAATGGATTTATGCATAGCTTTTACACCATATTGTTCATCATTGATAATAATGATGATAAATGTGTASTTCCAGAAGTAATCCAATTCCCTCCTTGGGGGAGTGGGCTGGGAGSCAATGGTTGTGTAAAAAGATAAATTTAACAACGTAAAAAAGCAGGTGAAATAACTGAYGTTTCGGACTTTAATCSTTCATTGGAGTRAAGAGCAATGGATTATTTCTGGAACTACACAATATATGATWATCTCAAGAAATCAATATTGTTGATTGAACTTCCCACAGGTATCCTGGRGTGGATATTCAAAACTTCACTACAAGCTGGAGAAATGGATTGGCATTCAATGCYCTCATTCACAAACACAGGTAAAATAGACTTTATTAACAAAATATGATCTCAATGTTGAATTACAAATTCATTATGGGAAGTCCAGGTTCAAAAACATACATTGTCACCAAGAAGTACTTTAAAAATGTTGTTTTTCATTTTTTATGATATGATATTTGGATCTCTGATAATTCAAGCTCTATTTCACCACTTSTAAGAGTCACCCAACAATTTAATTCAATTGACTGAAGTTTATAATTTAATAGGCCTGATTTGATTGACTATGCATCTTTACGACCAAGTCAACATGAGGCAAACTTAAACAATGCATTTATGATTGCTGAGGATAAACTTGGAATTGCAAGACTACTGGATGCCGAAGGTAGGTCTAGAAAACTGTTTAACCATGCACTCCATTCCAGAACAAGTCATCTAATAAATGACTTCTATCCACAATTAAGCACAGTATAAGAGTTGGTGTAATTACAGGGGCATGTGCRGTAGGTGCTTCCAGGGATTCTGGAGGCCTCCATTTTAGGCAGAYGWAGYCTTTRAAATATGGACTTCATTTGCCAAATCAACAGGGTAACACCTMCAACAGTTTGTTTGGTGTAAATGCAAAACAGTACTTAATGCAATTTGCAGTCAATCACCTTCATAATCTTGAAACTGSAAAACAAAGYAKAAAACCCCYTAYTGAAMCACTGCACACACCCWTAAATTATGATACTTTTTTCCATAGATGTGGACTGCCCTCGCCCAGATGACCGATCAATAATGACTTATGTRTCTGCCTACTATCAATACTTTGCTAAGATGAAGTCAGAGGAAACAGGGGGWCGAAGAGTTGCAAAGGTATCTTTCAATGGAATCTTCAACATGTATTTGTGGGGTAACTCGTGGATCGCATACATTTATGACCGCGTCTCGCGATTATGGAACTTCCAAAACCTTATAGTTACAAAAATTTAAGAACAAGTGGCTTGAATTCCATTTCTCCTTTCCGTCTGACTCTTTTAACTTGGAATATAACATTATTTGTTTTTGTTTTTCGTGAACATTTGAATAGAGTAGATTATTGTTAAGTTAGCGACATTTTGTCAAGTTTTTCTTTCATCCTTTGCTGCCGTTCTTTTACAGTATGGCTGGGTTACKATAAATCAATTTTCACTTTGGATATTTTTATAGATAATTAGCGTATTGATGGAAATCGAGGGAATGCAAGATGCCTACGAGTCGATGGTGTCCGATTTGTTATCATGGATTAACAGTAAAATATTGGATATGTCCAAACCATTTCACAAGTCATTATCAGCYGTTCAGAARGAGATGATGACATTCAAGCACTTTAGAACCATCGAAAAACCACCAAAGTGAGAACMATCATAATTGATTCCTCATCATATATGAGATTAAATCGTCAAAACGCTTCATAACGTTTGGTCATAGTTAATATCGTCTGCTTTAATTTTTCCATAAACAAAACTCATCGTGTTGTGTCTTGGTTAGGTACGCTGAAAGGGTCAACATYGAAGCTCATCTTTTCAATCTACAAACAAAACGTAACGCGAACCAACAAAAGCCCTACGCACCCCCAGAGGGATCGTACGTTAAAGATGTTAATAGGGCGTGGCAAGTTATGGAAAATGCTGAACATAACCGTGCACTTGCTTTGAGGAATGAACTTATAAGGTAACAT